AGGAGATCGACCTCATGGCTCAGACTCCGTTTTGTCTTTGGTTCCATTTCTGCTTCTGAGAAAGTGACTCATGACTGTTAATAGGTAAACCAAGGAGGGGCAACTTGCCCTTGGGAAGAACACTTAGTATGTTTTAAACAGACTAACTGAAGACCTCCTACAGGAAAGGTCCATTCTGTATTATCTTGCTAATTATTAGTTCTCTAATGAAAACTTGTCACATGTAAATTTTTCTATATTTTCTGTTTCTTCTAGACAAATTTTGTGTGTTCCTTATGGATATATGTTTCTGGGTAGATATGTTTCTAATTTAGATGATTCCTTTCCAATTGATAGTGAACTTGTGTGGGCAATCTCTTGTTTACATTCCTGATGAATGCACAGTCAATACACTTCAGAAACTTTAGGATTATCTTTAAGTTTTCATAGTAACAATGCTAGTAAATATTGAAAAGGTAATGTTAAAATTGTAAAATGAAAGTCAGAAGAAAACTCATAGGTCCAACACTCGGGGTATCGTTGGTAGCTTTAATTCCTACTTATGGTATATCTGAATTGAAGAAATCTTTAAGAAAATTTGTCAGTCACTATGGGACAAATAACAGATGAGATAGAAGCACAACAGTGATCTCTGATCTCATAAGCCAAGGTGACATGAGATAACAAAATAACCTTAGATTTTCTTTTATTAGTCCAAGAAAGTTTAGTCTGTGCTGTAGACAAGATATACATAGAATCAGACAACAAGCTACTTGGTTATACATTCTCACACCCTTACAAACACCAGATCTATTTGGTTGATTACCATCAGGAATAAGTACATGGGCTAGATTACTACTGCAAGGGATAGTAATATTCTTGGTCTACATCCTGATAGTATTAGCCATAATAAGATTTATCCTCTATTGTTTTACACACCTAAAAGGCAAAAGAAGGCCTCAGGCTACAATGTTGATGTACATTGAGTCTGTTCACTCCAATGCCATTGATGGGTACATCGCTCTTACTTAATAACCTGGTGAAGAACCAGATGGTATCTGGTGGAAAACCAGCACTGCGAGTTTAAAGAGCCTGCAATGGCCACCATCTAGGAGCTCAACTAAGTCCAGGTATTGATCATCGATGTGTTATCTCCAATCTCTGATCAAAAGGAGGGACTGATTTAGGAAATAATATTTGGAATCATTGTTCCCTGACCGTGAGCATGGAGAAATGTGACCCAGCTAGGGTTGTGCCCTCACAGACAAAGACATATCAACTGGGCCCTGAGATAAGACAACAGATGGGACAATCTGAGAAATTATCTTAAGGAAGTTTTCGCAAAAGGGCAATGAAACCTAACCCAAAGGATTTCTCACTTTTTGTCTTTTTCTATTAACAGTTAGTGAATAGGAATTTGTTGGACCAATGAAAACCCTCCTGACTTTCGTAACTGAAACCTGTACCAATGACTGTTAAGAAAGATGATTCAAAATGTAAGATTACAGTTTCTAGCCAATCAGTGAAAAAGTGACGCTTTCAATGATTCTACCCATTTTGTGATGTTGATATATACTGATGATTCTGTAACCATCCTTGGACTCGGGCAGACATGGCTGTGGCAGCACGTTTGTCCGTTTTCCCATTCTTGCCTATTCTGTGATATCTTTGGACTCGGGCAGACATGGCTGTGGCAGCATGCTTGTCTGCTTCCCTCTTTTGTCCTTATGAATATATGCCAAATAAAACTTTCTTTTTACTTTAAAAAAAAAAAAGAGTTTGTGGTTTTAGTTTCTTAAATTTAGGTCCTTGATCCACTTTGAGTTTATTTCATATATGGTGTGAGGTATGGGTCCAGATTTTTTTTTTTCATGTGGAAACCCAGTTGTCCCAGCACCATTTATTAAAGAGATTCTTCTTTCTCCATTGAATGAACTTAGCACCCTTATTGAAAATCAACTGACTATAGATGTGTGGATTTATTTCTGGACTCTCAATTCTATCCCATTGGTCAATATGTCTATCATTACACCAGGACCAGACTGTTTTGATTACTGTAGCTTTACAGTATGTTTTGAGAAGTGTGAGTCTTCCTATTTTGTTCTTCTTTTTCAAGATTGTTTTGGCTATTTAGGGCCCCTTGCTGTGCCATATAAATTCAAGGATTGGCATTTTCATTTCTGCAAATCAGGCTGATGGAAAGTTGATGGGATTGCATTGGGTAGTACTGACATCTTTTTTAAAAAATAATATTTTATTGTGATTTCAGTGAAGGTTTACACAGCAGTTTAGGTTCCCATTCAACAATTTCTACACAAGTTGTTCAGTGACATTGTTACATTCTTCACAATGTGTGAACATTCTCATTATTTCCATTCTGGTTGTTCTGTTTCTATTAATCTAGTTTCCCTGCCCCTCTCACATTCTCATCTTTGTTTTAAAGTAATGTTAACTGTTTGGTCTTATATAGGTGATTTTTTAAAGGAGCACAGTACTTACAGTGATATTCATTATTTTTTGAGTCAATTTGTTATTTAGCTACAATGTAACCTCAGGGGTTAGTTTTGGTTCAAGGTTTGAAGAGTATCTTGGGGCAATAGTCTCCAGGAATCCTCCAGGCTCAACCAATCCAGTAGGTCTGTTTTGTTTTTTTTGTTTGTTTGTTTTTGTTTTGGGAATTTGAGGTTCTGTTCCACATTCTTCTCCCATTCTATCAGGGTCCATCTACTGCAGCCCTGATTAGAAGGTTGGTAGTGGTAGCCAGGCACCATCTAGTTCTTCCGGTCTCAGGGTATACAAGTCTGTGGTTCGTGTAGACTGTTTGTCCTGTAGACTAGTTTCTTCTTTGAGTTTTTGGCTTCCTTCTTAGTATTGACATCTTAATATTGAGTTGTCCAATCCATGATCACAGAATAACCTTCCATTTACTTAGGTCTTCGTTAATTTCTTTCTGTAATGTTTTACACTTTTCAGTGTATAAGTCATTCACCTCCCTGGTTAAATTTATACCTAGGTATTTAATTCTTTTAGATACTAATGTAAATGGAATTCTTTCCTTAATTTCATTTTCAGAATGCTTATTGCCAATGTACAGAAACCCAACTGATGTTTGTGTGTTGCCCTTGCACCCTGCCATTTTTTTAAATACTAATTTTAACTGATGAAAACATTTATTTGAATATGGATACAAGAACTACTTCAGTAACTTTAATAACAGTAATGTGACTGGAGTGGCTGTGCAGATGCCTGAGGCAGGGATGCTCATGGGAGACACGAAGGGATTTGCAGGTGGAGGTGTTAATCAGCAAAGGGGTCCCAGTTCTGTGAACCGCACAAAATATGGAATGCTTCATGAATTTGCATGTCATCTTTGCACATGGGCCATGTTAATCTTTTCTGTATTGTTCCAATTTTCGTATATGTGCTGCTGAAGAGAGCACTCTACCCTGCCACTTTGCTGAATTCACTTATTAGCTCTAGTAGATTTCTTGTGGATTCTTTGGGGTTTTCTGTATATTCAGGATCATGTCATCTGTGAAAAGGGATATTTTTATTTTCTCCTTCCCAATTTGAATACCTTTTATTTATTTACTTTTTCTTGCCTAATTGCTCTGGCTAGGGCTTCTAGCATAATACTAAATAACAGTGGTGAGAGTGGGCATCCTTGTCTTGTTCCTGATCTTAAGGGGAAAGCTCTCTATCTTTCTCTATTACTGATTTGATGTTAGCTGTAAGTTTGTCATAAATGCATAAATTTTCTTACTGTTTTTAATTTGAGAATGTCTTTATTTCTCTTTCAATCTGGTATTTTCACAGGGAATACAATTCTAAACTGGCAGTGCATTTCTTTCAACATTTCTGGTTTCCATTATTTCTGTCATGTGAGGTAAGCTGTTAGTCTAATCGTGGCTCCTTTGAAGGTAATCTGTCTTTCCCCTCCCTCTGGATGCTTTCAACACTTTCTCTGTCTTTGTTTTTCAGCAGTTTTACTATGAGATGCCAAGGTACAGATTTCTTTTTATCGATACAGATCAGAATTCGTACAGCTATTTGTGTCTGTGATTGATGTCTTTAACTAGTTTTGGAAAATTCTCAGTTATGATTTCTTCTGCCCTATTCTCTCTCTCCTATCCTTATGGGACTCCATCCTACATATGTTAGATATTCTTGCTTTATTCCGAAAGCATCCTACTTTCTCTTTTGTTCATCTTTTTGCTAATCTGTCCTTCATGCTAGACATTTTCTTCACACTCATCTTATAGTTCACTAATTCTCTCTTCAGTTGTATCTAGTTGGCTGTTACTCTTAATTTCAATTATTATATTTTTCAGTTCCATTACTTCTGTTTGATTGTCTTCAAATATACTATCTCCTTTTTTTACAGTTTCCAGTTCTCTGCCAAAAGTCTCACTCTTATCTTTTACCTCTAGAAAATAGTAAACAACTATTTTTTAATCTATCTCTGAAAATTCAGAATTTCAACATTTGGAGCCCCTGTAGGTCTGCTGCTATTGTCCATTGTTTCTGCTGACTATCCTCATGTTCTCTTGTCCCTTGTGTGCCTGGTTATATCAGACTGTGGCAACACAATATATTTGCAAAATTGGTTATAAAAATAATTTGAGGCTTTTAAAGATGTTATCTTCTGGCAGAGAGGATCTAGATCTGCTTTTGTTACACAGCTGGGGGCACTAGGAACCCAGGGTCATCATAATCCAATTTAGGGGACTGATATGCTTTAAAGTTGAGCTGCAGTTCCTATGAATGCTGCTCTGTGATTGGTTCACCCTTATTCCTAGAGAGTAGCTCTTAGAGATTCCAAACAAAGACAGGCCCTTTCAGGCCCAGAACTCCCAGATTTCCCCCTGAAGCCATAATGTCATCATAAGCCCTATTTAGCCTCTCAGGAGCCTTTTCCCTAAAGTAAAGCAACCTCAAATACCAGGATCATGTCTTTTGGTTTCATCTTCTCTTAGATCTTAGCCAGATAATTCTTTGTCCTTTTTTAAGACTTCAGAAATTTTACTTACTCTGTAACCTATTATATCAGTATCTCCTTTCTTCCACTCTGAAAATCCTGGTTCTGAAGGACACTGGCTGTGACAGAATTAGAATGTCCCATAATTACTCATTTGTTTTATCTCATATTACACAGTCTCAAAATAATAATAATGGTAATACTACCACCAACACGAGTAAATACTAAAAATTTTCTTTTGCATATGCTCTCCCCATTATCCCTCCCTTCCCATTTTTTTTTTGCCATTATATACTATATTCTCTCCCTCTTAGTCTTCATTTAGTCTTAGTTCTAGTAAGAAGTATATATTTAATGCTCAACACTAGTCCTTATATTGATGTCTCTTTATATGGTTTAGCTGTGGGCCAGATAATTCTTTACTATCTTGTTAGATCTCTGATATCTTACAGTAAAACCTGTGAAAGCTGGAACCTGTGTTAAGGTGGAAACCTGTCAGAGAAGGAAAACTCAAATATTTTCCACTAAAATGAGTGATAGAAAAGTGGTGGAAAACTTGTGAGACCTGGAAAAACAAGGCAGGTCCATCGAGTTCCAGCTCTCACAGGCTTCACTGTATATTCTTCTCCCCTCCACCAGCTGTCTGGAGAAAAAGGGCTGGTCCACATTACCTAGTCTGCCATTACAGAAGTGAAACTCTATCTCCTGAATTATAAAAGTTTTAAATCATGTTTCCAGTTGCAAAAGTTTTTCTCTGCTCTCCTAATCTCCTTGACAACTGTGAAATGAGTTCCTTTATGTGTCCTTTTCCCTTGGTTCTTTGGAAAAACAGCTTGAGAGATTTTCCCTCTAAGACCTGAAGATAAGGTATCTTTGCCTTAGTTTTCTACCCTAGAGGGTTTGTTACATTTTCTGGGTAAGCTGTAAACAACTTGATTTGATACTTTTTGTCTGGCCCTGGGCTGCAGCCTTCTTTGTGACTGGAATGCACCTTACAGAGACTCGTCAATACACTACGCAAAAGTCATGACTATAGACTATGCAAATGAAGTTACTATAGCCTACTATGCAATTGAAGTGTCTGTAGCCTACTGAAAGGGGATTGGTTAGTTCGTAGCCTCGGGTGCAAGGGAGGGCCATTTCTTGAAACTGATGAGGAGTTTGTGTATATATGCAACCAACCCCACAGAGGTTTTTCAGAAAGGAAGCAAACAGAAGCAGAAGGAAGAAAGAAGAGAGAAGCAGCAGAGTGAAAGAAGGCAAGGAACCTCCTAAAACAGCTGTAACATGGGTCAAGGACTGTAACACTAAAGACAGCAACAGGACTGGAAGGGGCCAAGAGGCAGAGCTGGTGGTGACAGACAGCAGGACCAAGAGAAGCTTGTCCTGAGGGGGCCGAAAGAAGCCCGTCCTGAGGGGGCTGAGAGGAGGCCTGCACGCTGAGGAGTTGAGAGAGCTGTCCTGCACTGAAGAAGAGGAACTTTGCCTACATGCTTCCTGATCCTGATCCTGAGTTGTAGCCTGCTGATCTGATCCCAAGTTGTATCCTGTTACTTCCTTAATAAACCACTTAACTGTAAGTATGGTCTATGAGTTCTGTGTGGCCATTGCAACAGATTATCGAATCCAGAAGAGAAGCAGACAGTGCCATGGAAGGGACAGCTGGTGTCAGAATTGGTAAAAAAGCTGGAGTGGAGGTATGTCTGATCTCTACCTTACATGGATCAGCCTTGGGCTGATCCTGATTCACATTATTCTCCTTGAAGTTGGGACAGGTTCTGATGATGTTACTACTACCACAACACACCAACTCATTGCGTTTTTATGAAACCTGATGCATCTAATTGCTGTACTTCATTGGAAGCCACTCTTAAGGTTTTTAGCCTGGTCTCCCTTCCTCTGGTTGCTAAGTTGCCTTAGGTAAGCTGTTATCTCTCTGACCTATTTATGTGTTTTTCAGTACAATGATGAGGTCAAACTCTTAGGGTCTCTTGACTGAAATACTACAAGTATAATCCTAATGACAAGTATTTCTAAAATTATGCAACTAATTAGTACCACTATCAAATTTTATAATGTATAAAGTTTTATTCTGGATATAGAAATTATCAATTACTTGATTTGAGACAGAAATAAAAATTTTAAATTTAAATTTTTAAAAAACTTTTCATTTTGAAAAAAATTTTAGATTTACAGAAAAAGTTGAAACAATAGTATAAAGAATTCCTATATACCCTTCACCCAGATTCCCTAAATGTTGACATTTTATTGCATTTGCTTTATCATTCTCTCTACATGTACATATATATATTTTTTTCCTAATCTGTTTGAGAACAAGTAACAGACATTGTCTTTTGATCCCTAAATACTTCAGTGTATATTTTGTAAAAATCAAAGACATTCTCTTACATAAGTACAGTAATGTTATCATAATCAGGAAATTAACAATGATACAATATTATTAAAACTAAAGATCTTATTCAAATATTGCCAATTGACCCAATAATGTTCTTTATAGAAAAAGAAAACTAAATAAATATTTATATATATTCTTCCTGGTCCAGGATCACACTTTATATTTAGTTGTCCTGCCTCTTTAGTCTCCTTCAATCGGAACAGTTCCTCAATCTTTCTTTGTCTTCCATCACATTGACATGTATTAAAAGTCTGGACCAGTTATATGTAGAACGTCCCTTAATTCGAGTCTGTCTGATGTTTCCTTCTAACTAGATTCAGGCTATGCACTTTGGGCAGGAATGTCACAGCAATGGTTTGTTCCTTACCAGTGCATCAAATCAGGAGGCAAATAGTGTCAGTTTTTTCCATTATTGGTGATGTTATCTTTTATCATTTGATGAAGGTAGTGTCTGCCAGGTTTCTCTGTTGTAAAGTTACTTATTTTCCTTTTTTAATCAACACATACCTTGTGATGAGATACTATGAGGTTATATAAATTCCTGTTTCTCATACAATTTTACCCATCAGGTAAAGTTTACATTTAAGATGTAAACAGACGAATGTAAAATAAAATAGATTAATTTACCTTTGAATCTAGAAAAAAAATCAAACATGGTAACTAACAAAAGTGCGTTATAAATTTTTCAGATCTGGAAAGCTTAAATTTATACAATTGTGTCCATAATGTTAAAAAAAAAAATTATCTGATAAGCCCATTATACTATATGAAGAATTCAGAAAAGACGAAAAACTGAAGTTAAACATCAAAACTTATATTGAATGTCTCACACTTCTGTTATTTCCACAATGATCCAATACTGAACATTTATATAGAATTTTAAGGCCATCTCACCATTGACTCAAGAGCAGACATGAGGAACGTCACCACCATCCTGCTGTCCGAGGACTCCTCACCTCCCATAGGCAAGGTAGACATTGCTACTTGGGCCATGATCCCTGTGCAAGATAGACATTAAGAAAGTGAGCGGTAGAACTCCACAGTGTCCTTCTAAACACAAGTTTTAGAACCATGAGGGCCCTCACAGATCACCTAGTTCAATCCTTCCCTTTAGAGTTGAAGAAACAGGCACTTAAAGACAAGTAATCTTCCCAAGATCTCCTGTAAAATAATCTAACTTTCATATGGTGTATATTCCACTAACTTAGATATCATCTCCCCATAAAATAAATTCAGGTATTTATAAATTCGTGTTAATTATTACGCAGATGAGGAAGGGACAGGAAATGTACTTTATTTATCTGATAATGTTATGCCAGATTTTAACATGGTAGTGCCAAATATCAAATTCAGTTTCACACGTACACACCAAAAGAGATAAATGGGTTTTGTGTATTAAATACAGGAACAGAAAATTCCTTCTCCTGTTCCCACTAAAACTTTTCCTGCATAAAATTTAGCCAAGCTCTAAATCAAGTTAGTTTAAAAATTTTCTTCCAAAAAATTATCAAAAACCTTAAAAAGTTTTCTGAAATGTGCATGCAAATTAATCATCAGATATGTTACCCCCTATAGCTGAGTTAATGATATTTTAAGCAAAAGATAAACAGATCAACATAAGTGTGTACATGGAAGTGTTAAAAACAATACTAAGCCAGTAACAGAAATTGATTGAAGTTTATTTGATATATGATTTGCAAATTGGGGCAACATTTCTAAACTTCTATCTAGTGTCAAAAATGTTCCAGAGAAGAATCATCCTTTACAGATTTTTATACCCCAGCTTATTGCTAGTAGTAATACACTGCCATGGAAACAGGGCCAGAATAGATTTTACAAAATAACTTGTGGGTATGCAGGATTCTATATGACATTTTTTAGAAGAACAATTAAAATAATTATTGATTGACCTTAAAACACAGCTTCTATTCTGACCCTTCGAATTGCTTGTCAAACTGACTGCACAGATAATTCTTTAAAAGAGCACAATGCCCTAAACTATTGTTTGACTTAAAGACAGCTTTAGGAGACCAGTTTCAGCTCAAGGTTTAAGGTTCAAAGATTGCCTCAGGGCAATAGTTTCAGGTGGGCCATTTTAACCTCAGTGGATTCAGAAAGTCTGGATTCCACGAGAATTAAAAACTCCATCCACAGAAGAAAGACTGAAGACTTAAGGGAATGATGTGTGGTGGTCATATAAAGCTATTAAAAAATATTCACAAGCATTTCTTTTGGAGCTCCTGGTTCAATTTCTTGTGCACTTGAATGTGGTGTGGTCACATGACTTGCTTAGGCCAATGATGTGAGTGGAAGTGACATCACTTCCTGGCAGAGCCTTTTAGACCCAGGGGTTGCTTAGCCACACTCCTTCTTCCACTGCAATGGTGACTGGCAATGTGCCATGTAGCCATCAGCCTGAGCTCCAGATTCAGGACAATGTGAAACAGATTCACAGCAAACTCACAGTAGACATTCAGTGTGAGCAAGAAATAAATCCCTGCTCCATTAAGCCACTGAAATCTACAGAGAAACTGGATTATTCAACCAGGTCAAGGAAATGAATATTAAAAGGTATGTAACAGCAAAGCCATCACTTGTCTGTTAACTATTATTCAAATTTACACACCAACCACAAATGTCAAAGATGAAGAAATTGAAGATTTTTATAAATTGCTTCACTCTGAAATTGATCAAACATGCAATCAAGATGCATTGATAATTACTGTTAATTGGAATGCAAAAGTTGGAAACAAAGAAGAATCAGTAGTTGGAAAATACGGTGCTCAGTGATAGCAACGATGCTGGAGACCACAGGATAGAATTCTACAAGACCAATGACTTATTTAAGTCATTATATATATTGGATATGTGTTCAATTTTTATCTAAAATAAAGGAAGCAATGTACAAACAATATAAGATAAATTAGGCAACTGGGACCTCCTAAAAATTAAACCCTTATGCTCATCAAAAGACATCACCAAGAGAGGAAAAAGAGAACCTACAGACTGGGAAAACATATTTGCCAGCGACATATCTAACAAGGGTCTAATCTCTAAAATATACAAAAAAATTCACTCAACAGCAAAAAGACAAAAAATTCAATAAAAAAATGGACAAAGGACATGAACAGACACTTTACCAAAGAGGACATTCAGGCGGCCAACAAATACATGAAAAGATGCTCACGATAATTAGCCATTGTTGTTGCTATTAGGTGCCGTCGGGTTGATTCAGACTCATAGTGAACCTATATACAACAGAATGAAACAATGCCAGGTCCTGTGCCATTCTCACAACTGTTATTATGCTTGAGTCCATTGTTGCAGCCACTGTGTCAACACATCTTGTTAAGAGTCTTCCTCTTTTTCGTTGACCCTCTACTTTACCAAGCATGATGTCCTTCTCCAGGGACTGGTCCCTCCTGATAACATGTCCAAAGTACGTGAGACAAAATGCTGCCATCTTTGCTTCCAATGAGCATTCTGACCGTCCTTCCAAGACAGATTTGTTCCTTCTTCTGGCAATCCATGGTATATTCAATATTTTTCACCAACACCATAGTTCAAAGGCATCAATTCTTCTTCGATCTTTCTTGTTCATCGTCAACCTTTGGCATGCATATGAGGCGACTGAAAATACCATTGCCTGGGTCAGGTGCACCTTAGTCCTTGAAGTGAGATCTTTGCTTTTTAACACTTTAAAGAGATCTTTTGCAGATCTGCCCAATGCAACTCATTTGATTTCACGACTGCTGCTTCCATGGGTGTTGATTGTGGATCCAAGTAAAATGAAATCCTTGACAACTTCAATGTTTTCTCCATTTATCATGATGTTGCTTATTGGTCCAGTTGTGAGGATTTTTTGCTTTATGTTGAGGTGTAATCCATACTGAAAGCTGTGGTCTTGGATCTTCATCAGTAAGTGCTTCAAGTCTTCTTCACTTTCAGCAAACAAGGTTGTGTCATCTGCATATCGCAGGTTGTTAATGATCTTCCTCCAATCCTGATGCCACGTTCTTCTTCATGTAGTCCAGCTTCTCAGATTATTTGCTCAGCATACAGACTGAGTAAATATGGCAAAAGGATACAACCTTGACGCACACCTTTCCCGATTTCAAACCACACAGTATCCCCTTGTTCTCTTCAAATGACTACCTCTTGGTCTAAGTACAGGTTCGTCATGAGCACACTTAAGTGTTCTGGAATTCTCATACTTCACAATGTTACCCATAATTTGTTATGATCCACAGTCAACTGCCTTTGCATAGTCAATGAAACACAGGTAAACATCTTTCTGGTACTCTTTGCTTTCAGCCATGATTCATCTGACACCAGCAATGATATCCCTTGTTCCACGTCCTCTTCTGAGTCCGGCTTGAATTTCTGGCAGTTCCCCGTCGATGTACTGCTGCAACCACTTTTGAATGATCTTCAGCAAAATTTTACTTGTGTGTGATATTGTATGATAATTTCCACATTGTGTTATATCACCTTTTTTTGGAATGGGTACAAATATGGAGCTCTTCCAACTGGTTGGCCAGGTAGCTGTCTTCCAAATTTCATGGCATAGACTAGTTTGCATCCATTTGTTGCAACATCTCAATTGGTATTCTGTCAATTCCTGGAGCCTTGTTTTTCGCCAATGCCTTCAGTGCAGCTTGGACTTCTTCCTTCAATACTACCAGTTCTTGATCATATGCTACCTTCTGAAATGGCTGAATGTCAACCAAGTCTTTTTGGTACAGTGACTGTGTATTCCTTCCATCTTCTTTTGATGCTTCCTGTGTCGTTTAATATTTTCCTCGTTGAATCCTTCAATATTGCTACTTGAGGCTTGAATTTTTTCTTCAGTTCTTTCAGCTTGAGAAATACCAAGTGGTTTTCTATCTCCAAGCTTTTGCACATTTCATTATAACACCTTACTTTATCTTCTCAAGCCACCCTTTGAAATTTTCTGTGTATCTCTTTTATTTCATCATTTCTTCCTTTCGCTTTAGCTACTCTATGTTCAAGAGCAAGTTTCTGAGTCTGCAAGTTTGGTCTTTTCTTTCTTTTCTGTCTTTTTAATGACCTCTTGCTTTCTTCATGTATGATGTCCTTGATGTCATGCCATTAGGGTTCAATGCATCAAAACTATTCTTGAGATATTCTCCAAATTCAGGTGGGATATATTAAAGGTCCCACTTTGGCTCTCATGGACTTGTTCTACTTTTCTTCAACTTCAACCTGAACTTGCATATGAGCAATTGATGGTCTGTTCCAGTCAGCCCCTGGCCTTGTTACAGCTCATATTGCTCTTATGATATTTAGCTTTTCCATCTCTTTCCACAGATGTAGCTGATTTGATTCCAGTGTTTTCCATCCAGTCAGGTCTACGTGTATAGTCACCGTTTACGTTGTTAAAAAAAGATATTTCAATGAATAAGTCATTGGTCTTGCAAAATTCTATCATGCGATCTGTCGTGTCATTTCTATCACCAAGGCCATGTTCTTCAACTACCAATCCTTCTTCTTTGTTTCCAACTTTTGCATTCCAATCGCCAGTAATTATCAATGCATCTTGATTGCATGTTTGATCAATTTTAGACTGCAGAAGTTGGTAAAACTCTTTACTTTCTTCATCTTAGGCCTTAGTGGTTGGTGGGTAAATTTGAATGAGTCATATTAACTGGTCTTCCTAGTATGTGTATGGATATTATTCTATCACTGACAGCGTTGTACTTCAGGATAAATCTTGAAATGTTCTTTTTGAAGATGATTGCAGTACCACTCCTCTTCAATCTGTTGTTCCTGGGATAGTTGACCATAGGATTGTCTGATTCAAAATGGCCAATACCAGTCCATTTCAGCTCACTAATGCCTAGGATATTGATATTTATGAGTTCCATCTCATTTTTGACGACATCCAATTTTCCTGGATTCATACTTCGTACATTCCATGATCAGAGTATTAATGGATGTTTGCAGCTGTTTCTTCCCATTTTGAGTCATGCCACAT